GGTGAGAAAGAGACACAGGGCCAGGAAGAAGTGAAGAAAGACATGTAAGAAAGATTCCCTAAAGAGTACTGATAGCTACACAGAGACAGGCCAATAAAATCGAGAGACAGTGTAAGTCAGAAGGTAAACAACAAACGTGATCTAACCCAACAGTTATAATGATAAAATCATAAGTCAACATAAGTGATCAGACTAAAGTCACTTCTCTGATCTCCAATTTCCGCCTCTCCCTTTTGTTTTTCGTTGCAGCGTAGGGGCGGGTCTTTGTCTCCTGTTTCATGCCATTGCCTTAGAAACTGAGGTAAAAGTTTGTTGATAGGTGGGCGGGGCAATGGAAGTCTCTGCCTGGAGAATGGCAAGGTAGTTTAAACAGATCTGTTTTTCTCCGCTTGTCTGGGTCCCCCGGCATGGGGTCTCGTGCTGAGTGCCTCAGCCAGGGTGGGCCCAGAGTTCCAGAGCTCCAAAGCTCCAAAGGGCAGGCGGTGGGCAGTGAGAGTGGCCCTGGACCTCCCTCAGGGTACTTCAGCCAGTAATGGGACCGGTGTCTCTGAGGGGCGGGCACCCAGAGCCTCCCTGTGTGACCGGCGGCCTGGTGCCGGGTGCCGGGCTGGAGACAGTGCAGCCGGGGAGGGAGCTGGAGGGGGTTCAGACCCAAGACTCCCACGCACGCAGTGGAACAGCAGCAGCAGGGGGCCACAATATCTGGGCTTAGGAACAGAGGTAAAGTTTGTTGATAGGTGGGTGGGGCAATGGAAGTCTCTGCCTGGAGAGTGGCGAGGCAGTTTAAGCAGATCTGTTTTTCTCCGATTGTCTGGGTCCCTCAGCTTGGGGTCTCACGCTGAGTGCCTCAGCCAGGGTGGGCCCAGAGTTCCAGAGCTCCAAAGCTCCAAAGGGCAGGCGGTGGGTGGCGAGAGTGACCCTGGACCTCCTGCAGGGTACTTCAGCCAGGAATGGGACCGGTGTCTCTGAGGGGCGGGCACCCAGAGCCTCCCTGTGTGACCAGCAGCTTGGTACCAGGTGCCGGGCTGGAGACAATGCAGCTGGGGAGGGAGCTGGAGGGGGTTGGGACCCAAGACTCCCATGCACACATGCAGTGGAACAGCAGCAGCAGGGGGCTGCAATATCTGGGCTTAGGAAATGAGGTAGAGTTTGTTGATAGGTGGGCGGGGCAATGGAAGTCTCTGTCTGGAGAATGGTTAGGCAGTTTAAGCAGATCAGTTTTTCTCCACTTGTCTGGGTCCCCCGGCTTGGGGTCTCATGCTGAGTGCCTCAACCAGGGTGGGCCCGGAGTTCCAGAGCTCCAAAGCTCCAAAGGGCAAGCAGTAAGTGGTGAGAGTGGCCCTGGGCCCCCCACAGGGTACTTCAGCCAGGAATGAGACCAGTGTCTCTGAGGGGCGGGCGCCCAGAGCCTCCCTGTGTGACTGGCGGCTTGGTGCTGGGTGCTGGGCTGGAGACAATGCAGCCGGGGAGGGAGCTAGAGGGGGCTGGGACCCAAGACTCCCACGCACACAGTGAAACAGCAGCAGTAGGGGGCTGCAATATCTGGCCCTGCGTGGGACCAAAGTTCCCGGGCCTGGCACCAGCACAGCTGGTGGTGGGCTGGGGGATGGGGGAAGAGAAGTAATAGCCTTTTTGGGAACTCACGTTCAGAGAATCTCACCAGTTCACCTATGCCGTCGCCATCTTGTTCCTCTATTTGTATTTTTTTAATTAAATTTATATCCCACTGTCATTTATCATCATATTCTATTGTGCAAGTTTTCTGGAAGATAGAATGTGAACAATATGAACAAGTTGAATGTCCCCAAATCTTTATGATTATCAAATTGGCCATTGCTTTAATATTCCCTATTACTCTGTCTGTACCATGTTCTTACTTTACCTTTTGATCATGATTTTAGCCACTCTCAGCTTTCCACAGTATCATGATAAAGAGCTATCTTTTCATTCTAAACAATGAATTTAGTCTAGTTCTCTAACAGTTCTGAGATCTCACAACCTAAGTTAATTCAAGACAATAAGCCCTTTGATGGGTTTCAGATAGTGAGAAAGCAGTATCTGGGGCATAGCGGTGCTTCATGAGTAAATGGGGATTTGGGTAGCAAGCCAAGTAGGGCTGTGGGTCTGCTGTGTGAGAAGCGGTCATCCTGATGAGAAAACCATGAGACAGGCCAGAATAGACTAGCAAAGGGGAAATAAATGGACTATTGAACCTGTCTTAGGAATTTAAATCTGACAGAGCCACTGATAGGAAAGAAGAGACTTTAGGGGAGAGTAAATATAGTTAAGGTCAAGAACCATGGAAGGCTTGGAAAGCAATTCATGGGATGCTGAAGATCAGAGAAGTGACCTGGCCACATGTCACAGTGATCCAAGGAAGAAATGTGTGTGCCCGGGACAGGTGTGGTGGGAGTGGCAAACACAAGATAAGGATTATGAACCTAGTAGCTGCACCTGTCTGCTGAGATCATGCCATGAAACGTCTATAAATGACCAAAACAGTGCCTGGCACACAATCAAAGCTCAATAAAGTTTGCTTTCCTGACATAACAGGGCAATAAGGATACTGAATGGGGATTTCATCCCAATTCTGCCATTAAGTAGTGATATGGCCTCATGGTAAAACTGCTCAGCTTCCACCTCTGTAAAAATGAAAAGGTTAGGGCAAATTTTTGTTTTAGTCTACTCTAAATTCTAGTATTTTACAGTCTCATAGTCAAATTACTTAAAGCTAGTATATGTCTTATGCTGAAATATCAACTGGGTTTTTTTGTTGTTGTTTTTCTTCTTTTAAAGGAAAATAGAGTATATTGATCATTCTAACAATAAAAATAAATTTTAAAAACTAAGGCATCACACTAAAGAATGCTTTTTCAAGATAAATATATTTATTATTTATTTATTTATGCAGCAAGCATTCATTAAATACCTGCCACTTTGGTAGGCACTGGGAAAGAAAAGACAAACAGGATGTGGTCCCTGTCTTCAAGAGACTTATAATAATCTAGGCAGCCCAAGACACATGACAACAAAGATGCTTGAACTAGGACTTAAAAAGAAGTAACTTATTGCCAAGCAGAAAGGATGGGAGAGAATTTCAGGTAAAAATGGGCACAGCAAGGCAAAACAGAGTTGGTAGACATCCTGTGTATTCTGAGCACTGAGCATGACATGGGACAGATAGAGAGAGGACTGTGGGTGTAGGACTTTGTAAGCAGTGAGGCTGAAGCTGCAGGCAGGGCAAGGTCGTGGAGCATTTTGTGTGATAAGGAGTTTGGACATCATTCTACAGCAAATGGAATATCAATATGGAAGAAAGGAGAAGTGATAAGCTCAAATTTATGACTTAAAAAGATTTTTCTAGCAGCAATAGAGAGAACAGATTAGAGAAGACAAGAATAGAAAAAAGGAGGGAATAGAGGTCATTTATTGTACTGCAGGTAGGAAGTTATGAAGTTCTTGTGTTCTGAATCAAATAATAAGAGCAGGTTAGAGAAAAGCAATTAGTACTGGAGACATCAAGGAGGAAAACCTACAGGACTGATAGAATGTGGAGGGAGGTTGAGAGGACACTTTTGGGATGAGCCTCAGGTTTCTGGGTTGGAGAACAGTGTGGTTAATAGCACCATTTATAGATGTAGGGACTGTTGATGATGGAGCAAGTTGTAGAGAAAATAATTGCATTCATTGTTGATTGTGAGTTTGTGGGCCCAGTAAAACAGTTAGTGTTGATACACTTGAACACTTGGGCTTGATCTCAGGATGAGGATGAAGCTGATTCACAGAAGATTACAAGTTTTCAGTAGTAGGAGAAGCGCTGGGGATAAAACAGGCTCATCCTGGGAGAGTGCCCCTGTGAGAGGAGACAAGGGGGTAAGAATAGAAAAAGCAGGTGTGGCAGATTCAGCAAAACAAAGTAGCACCCTTATCTTAGTAAGTAAGCTATCCAGATAGACAATGCTGGGCCTGCAGCAGTCACTCTATAAATATGCATTTGGTGATGAATAAGTAAATGAACAAGTGGGTCAATCATTGAGTGAGAAGTGAAGGGCAATTGGGGCTGAGGACTGCAAATGGTAGAGGTCAGGTTTAAAAAGAAAACACTACAAATTATTCTCATGCAGACAGAAGCTAAAACCATCAGAGTGAAGGAGACCCCAAGGGAACAAGTACAAAGTGAGAAAAAAAAGACTCAGGAATGAACCCTAATCTCATTAACAAGGTAGACCAGCACGTTCTCCATGAGCCTCTGTAAAACATTAGTCATCATTAGTCAGAGCAGCCCAGTCAGCAGGGGCAGCAGTTAGAAACACAGTTTGACCTTCATCCATAACAGAAGGAGAATAATGTTCCAGTCCCCCCTCACATGGGGAGAAGATGAGGACAGAGGAGGTATGAAGTGTCAGCTGTGATGAGGCACCAGATTCGGTTTGAGAAGGGCGCCAGCTGCAGAGAGACACAGTTGGGCTGTAATCCACTGGCTCTGACTGGAAAACATGGTTCTCGGTTTGTTAATTCCACTAGGAAAAAATCTAGAGCCAATCCCCACTGGAGAGGTGTGTAGAATCATCAGTGAGAATGAGCCTCGCAGTGCTAATGCGACTTCAGAAAGCAAACTAGAGCCGGGCTCGGTGGCTCAGCCTGTAATCCTGTGCTTTGGGAGGCTGAGGTGAGTGGATTGCCTGGGCCCGCAGGTTCGAAACCTGCCTGGGCAGCAAGAGCTCATCTCTACAATAAATCAAAAAAATCAGCCGGGCATGGTAGCGCATGCCTGTAATTCCAGCTACTTGGAAGGCTGAGGCAGAAGGATCGCCTGAGCCCAGCAGGTTGAGGCTGCGGTGGCCGGAAGCGGCCACTGCACTCCAGTCTGGGTGACAGAGTGAGACTCCAACTCAAAAAAAAAAAAAAAGAAAGCAAACTAGGCCCAAAGTCTGTGGGTGGGTCCAGGTGACACAAACACTTTGTCATATGCAGGTGACATATGTGGCATACGCTTTTTCAAACCCTATTTATCTTTAAAGGCCTCCATTGTTGGAGGTTTTTTTTTAAGTGATTTGAAGATGTTGGGAAATTATTTTTTAAAAATAAGCTGGCAAATTAATTGAATTCAATTCAACTGCAAAATATTGATTGTGGGATCACTTGAAGTTGATTGTTAACAATAAAGATAGCTCTGCTAGTGCAAAGCATGGCCCCTGCCTTCACTATTTTTTTGAGATTAAAACCAAAACAAAATATGGTCTTATTTAGCTTAAGTCAACTACTAGTGAGTTGAAGCACTGATTTACCCCTTCTCTGAAAAATTTACATCACTTCTGATATTTGAACCTACCTAGAGTGAAGCCATCAACCCTGTGATGATTCAGTGGGAAGCCTTCATGTCTACATCTGTAAAGACAGGACCCAGGAGCTGGAAGGTTCTCCATGGCTTCAACATGCTTATAGTACATGTATCACTTATAGTATGTTTCATGGCCCAACCATAGCACATTGCTGACAGCCCAGTAGACTCCTTCATTCTGTCATTTATGCAGTATGGTGACAGTTGTAGAGAGCTTTGTTCTCTGCCCAAGGACATCCAACTCTCCCGGTGGCATGTGTCTGTGTCTGTCCTGCCTTTCCAACTCTAGTTCTTCCCATGTGGGACTCCATAGGGTCTCTGAACTTTCTTTCCTAAGTAGAACAGCACCTTGGAAGGTTGCCCCTTATAGTAGTGTCTCTAAGAAGCAAATGCACATACAGTCATGATGTGCCTGGTAACTGATCCTCCACCACTACAACCCCTAGGTTACCAAGTGGTCACTGCTACTGGCCTTTTCTGTTCCAATGAATGCAAAGCCAACAAGCAACACACAAATAGATATTGCGGGTTGATGTGCTGACCTGGGAGATTTTAGGACAAGAACATGGCAATTAGCTATTTGCTAATTGCATAATAACCTGCCATCCTATTATGGCAGACTGGCGTAGGAAAAGAACTGGAGATTTGGAGTCAGAGAGGGTGAGGGCCAAGTCCAGGTTCTGCCGCTTCCCTCTTGCATGCCCATGATACCATCAGAACATCGGTGCCTTCTGTAAGATCTGTGTCATCATCCCTCCCCTGCCTCCTTCACCCAGAGCTCATAAGGAGTGTGACGATATATCCAAAGCTGCTGTCTACATGATAAACTGCTAAATATGAGATTTTTCTCACAGAGAAATAAAAATGGTAAGTATTGGTAAAAATGCATTTTGACGTTTCTTCTACTCATTCGACAAGTATTTACTGAGTCCCTAATTACACTAGGTACTGTGCTAGGAATTGGAGAAAAGCAGGTAGCAGCAGAGCCCCAGAGCTAGGTAAGGCTAGGAAAATGGATAGGAAACAGATTAAGGTTCTATGAGGGCTTTTCACTTTGTTCTTACAAACATGGGGAAGCCGATTACAGAGTTTTAAGTAGAGGAGCAACATGAGGAGATTTATGCTTTGAAAAGATTACTGTGACTACAATGTGAAGAACAGATGGAAGAGAGTATGAGCAGGTGGTAGGTAGATTGGCTGCAGTGGGCCAGACAGGGCCTGATAGTGGACTACTTAGATGCAGCACTGGACATGGGATTTGAGGAATATTTAGAAAATAATAACCACGGGACTTGGAATCAATTTGAATTGCAGTGGTACAAGTTACTATTGAAATATATTTGATGTTGTACTTAATCTTGGACTCAGAAAACAGTTCAAATTATGTCCCAGGGTAAATGATATTTCATTAAAATATTATGACATGGATTACACTTGTCTCTGCACTGATGCAGGGACCAGGCATTGATACTATCATTGATGCTAGGCCTAATTATTGAAGCTATTACATGTTGTCTGCTTGATATCTTTATACTTTCAGTTAACACTGTGAATATTTCATTGTTTATATACCAGTAGGAAAAAAATTAGCATGTTTACCAGAAAACGGTACCAAAATGACAAAGCTAATGCCGATTATTACTGCTGTGCCTCTGAAGTCTATATCAGTCTGATTCATATTTTGTCCCATTAACCAAAGACACCCCACATGCTGTGCATCTTAAAGGTCAAATTTGTGGAAGAATTATTTCATTAGCAATACATTCACTCAACTCTTACAGTAATAAAAACATAGCCTCCACTTTAAGTCAGAATGGCAAAACATAATCCACCTACCACCCCTTTTTCCTCCTTTCTATAGCTAGGATTACTAATTGATAAAGATGATTTCCCACCGAGCCCTTGAGAATCGGTCTCAACACAGAACTCCAGGCAACCAGTCGACCAATTAGCATGAGAGTTGAGACTCACTTGCCATCTCCATTTTAATGCTATGTAAATCCCTTGTTCCTCCAAAATAATCACTCTAAGCACATATGTAGGTTTTCTTCCCACCACGGTATGGTTTGCCTGTTTTCATTCACAGCATATGCAACAGATACTATTGATGTTCACTTGTATCCTCTCAGCTGACCCAAGTTTACTGGCAGCTGCTTCCTCAGTCTTAAGACACAACTCAGAAATGCAAATGCAGGAGAGTTAACACCTGAGAAGAGCAATCCTTATCCCCCATGTTCTTGTAGCTTCTCAGAAGGTCCATGTGGGCATGCCTAGTTGCTCACAGTGATAATCTATACATTGGTGTGTTTGCCTTCTCTGACTCACTTTCCTCATTGTTTATTTTGAGTTTCTTGGCCTTGTCTTAGGGTCTGCTTTTGTGAGAACCCAATCTAAAATGGCATCCATGATCATCTTTTGTCTTTGTGTTATGTAAAATATTGATTCATAAACAGCCCTCAGAAGATTCCTCCTAATGATCCACGGACTGAGTTGCAAACTGTGACTCTCCACACCACAGCACACCCATCTGAATCATCTTTCTTCCTCTCTGGGAAGGTCTACAGAAGAACCTGGGAGATAAAAAAAATAAACAAGGAGAAACAGAAAAATCAATTACCCCAAGAAGTGTCACTATAAAGCAAATAACATTTTAATGTCAGTCTTTGCAACTTTTGTTATTCAAAAATACATTGCAAGAGTAATCCTACAATGATTTTTGAACTTTATCTCCACCAGCAGTACCAAGCGGTGCTAATCAAGGAAGCCATTGTCTTAAATGAAGGTTGATCTTAAACCTTAACTGGTTAAGTTAGTTAAAACAAGAAATAAACATCGGTTCTGCCGTATACTCCATACCTTAGCTTTTAAAAAGTCAGGGATCCAGATATATGAACATAGAGAAGTAAAGATAGAAATAAAACTGCTCTCTACATTAAAAGATTATGCTACTAAGAAACTCCATTTAAAGTCACATCAGCCCAAAGAGTAGCCCCAGTAAAGTGCCAAGATGACATCGGAGACATACCAGGGATTCACAGATTCTAACAATGATAGATTTTTTTTTTAAATGCAGCATGGCACCTATAACAAAATAGTTAAGCATGTACAAAAGGGATGATTAGCCTTGAAGATTAGGAGGAAGAACATGAACTAAAAAAGACGTACTGCAGAAAACAAGAAATTGAGAAAACATGCTTGGAATCCTCAGATGCTAGAAGATATAATATGTAAGAATCAGAAGCAGGCAGAGCAGGCTAAACTGCAAAGACTACAAAAAATGATGCTTGATAAAATAAAAAGACTGAAAGAGACAAATCTGTGAGTTTGGAATTACCTCAGAAGGTTAAAACATTCATTACCACCAGTAAGAAGCAGGACTGTTACTGCAAGAAGTTAATGATGTAGAGGTCAACATGAGGAGTTCTCCAGTTATGGAGCCACAGGTCTCAAGTCTCACTCCAGGTCAGGCATGGTGGCTCAAGCCTGTAATCCCAGCACTTTGGGAGACTGAGGCAAGAGGATTGCCTGAGCCCGGGGGTTTGCGACCAGTCTGGGCAACTTGGTGAGACCTCTTCTCTACAATAAATCAAAAAATTAGCCAGGCATGGTGGCTCACGCCTGTAGTTCCAGCTTCTTGGAAGGCTGAGGCGGAAGTATCACCTGAGCCCAGCAGGTTGAGACTGCGGTGGCCGTAAGTGTGCCACTGTACTCCAGTCTGGGATACAGAGTGAGACTCCAACTCAAAAAAAAAAAAAAAAAAACACAAAAGTTTCACTCCACCCAACAGCAATCACATGGACATTACCGGGCCAGTAATTCTGGTTTTGATAGGCTGTATCCAATAGGAAGGCCAAACCTGGGCTGGGGAGGTAGGGAGAGTAGTACGTCAGAGTTACCAGGGAAGGGAGAAGCAGTGAACCAGGAAACAAAAGCTTTGACTGTAACCTCTTGGAGGAGAATGAAGCGACATGTCACTCTTTGATAAATACTGATATTAGGGAGTCAAAGGACCAAGAAATTAAGGAGACTAATAAAAATAGTCAAGATCAAGTCTACAAATGATAAGATACCCTTTGACCAGCACTTCCCAAATGTTCACATAAATCATCTGGGGATCTTGGTAAAATACAGATCTGATTCGTAGGTTGTGGGTCTGAGATTCTGGATTTCTAATAGGCTCCCAGGTGAAACTTTGCAGGTCCTCGGACCATATCT